CTGTTTCAGTGGGTATTCCCATCATAGCCTTAACCTCTTTGCTTATATTCTTACTCTCCTCACTCTTCAACTAGACTTCGGGAGTTCAGCCCATTGCTCGGCTACAGGTCTCTGCCTCTGTTTCCATTAGTTGCTGGATGTAGGTTCTATTGTGATATTTAAGATAGTCATCAATTTTACTACAGGGCATCAATTTTACTGCTAGGGTCCTAAATGCTGTCTTTTAAACTTGTCTTTCAGTGAGGTTAACTTTCTGAAACTCTCCACATACAGACCCAGAGACACAGATACACACACACGCACACACACACACACACACACTATAGCCCTTCTAGTATTAGATAGTCATGTTATTACTCAGTTGCTTGCCAAAGTGCCTTTCTTTAAAGCAGGCCGAAGATCCCGAGCTTACTCATCCATCAGGTCTCCAAGACCCTATGGATTTCTATTTGTCCAGGCACTATTCTGGTCAGTTTGCTCTTGTGCTTGGGTATCTAACAAAACCAGTCTCTAAGGCACATCAAGTCCCTAATCTTTAAAGCAACCCATTATTATTTTCTTAATAATGTCAATTGCTATTTAAGTATTTAAAACCTTCATAGATAGAAGGAAGCATCCCCATCTCTCACCTGTGCCCTATTCAGCCTACTCTTCCCTGGGCCAGTCGCCAGCCATGTGCGTTTTCTCCAGTGCTTCCACAACCTTGCCTTGTCAGGGCTCTAGTTTCCTCTGTCTTTTAAAAGTAAATTTAACTAAAACAGGCCAACATGCACAGGATGTTTTACCTGCTTCACTTGGGTCTTTCCTTTCTCTATTCTAATTGTTTTCAGATATTTACTAGGTATTCCTGTGTGATTTATAGTTCTCTATGGCTGGTGAGGATAGTTTGTTTTGTTTTGTTTCTCATGCTTTTCATATCTGAGATGCGTATAGTGTACATGCTAGCAATCTCATACTTACTATGCAGATAATAAATTGAGTTTGTAAATGGCATTTGAGATTTGTTTACTTGGCATGTGCTAAAATTCCACTCATGTCCAGCTCTGTGCCAGACAAGGAGATTTCATAAATTGAAACAAATAAAAATTTAATGGGAGAACAGCAATGGGCGCTTGGTCTCTGCTGGTAATGCAGCCAGAAGGCATTTCTACTGTGTATTTTATTATCTCTCGATACTGTGTTAGTGCCGCGTGGCTGTGGCCCATCACTTTGGCATTGGCATCCCTGGGACTGAGGGATGGGTGTTAACGAACCATGTTCTTAGGGTCTGGCAGCACACTCAGCACATACTAGGTTCTTGGGGAATGCCTGGAATGAAGTCGACTACAGTATAATTTGAAAAATGTTACTTTAGACCCTGTATGGGGTGGTGTTGGGAAGACAGGAGAAGGGGGTTGCCCAGCATGCTTTTCTGCTTCTTGGCTAGGATAAGCCCTTGTGGCCAAATGACAGCCCTGTCAGGCTGCGCTTGGCCACAGATTCACTTGGACAGTAATTTTACTTAAACCGACATTGGCAGCCTCACTTGGTGGATTACATTTTTGGGGAGGCACTGTAATTAAGAAGCATGTAAGTTGGCTAAAGTAGGTTCTTACATTCTGAACAAAAACTTAAAACACAAACTTTCATGCCAAAGGCCCCTGCTTAGTAAATTGTGATATACCTATTACACAGTATAAAGTTTTCAAAGGTAAAACTGGCTATTGTATGTTCCCATTGGCATTTAAATGGTGTTTAACCCATTAAATTTAATGTTTTACAACGAGATTTCTAGAAACACACATGAGAAATAATTAAGACAGTGATCCTTCCTATGGAATGAGCCTAATGTGACTTTAGGGGAGAAAGAAAATTTCTGTATGTCTCTAAAAGCTTTTTTTTTAAATGTTTTAAATTTTATTTAGAATGACTTTTGTGTGTGAAAAGACAAGTTAACGAGACTGAAATGAATCCCAATAAATTGAGGGTAACAACCTATGGCTTAGGTGGTTCTGGGGAAAGCCGCTCCTGGCTCAGTACAGGACTATGAGACCCCCACCACCACCCCAAGAGATTACCCTTCCCCTTGGAAGCATTACCTCTCTGAGTCATGGTCAAATAGGATTGGGGGATCTGGGGCTAATGAGAAAGGGTTCGAGGTTCCGAGGCACACCAAGGGGTAATTTCTGGGAACGTGGCTCACACATTGCTATTTAGGTCAAAGTTTAGAGTTCTAAGATGAGTCCGTGATGCAAACTGGGAATCCATAGAATCCAGGAAGACCAGCAGAGCTCTCGGTGTGTGCGCTTAGCCCCAAACAAACCTTTTAAAGGATGCTTTAGTGCATAGATATTATTTTAGGGTGTTTTTTTTTCTTTGAATGGAAGAGAAAGTTGCTCACAGAACACTAGGAAACAGAGAACCTGACAAGAAATGGTTAAACAAACATGGAGTTAGTTTGAAGGCTAAAGCAGCTTCAGCAATATTAAGGGTCTAGGTTGTGCTTCCAAATCTGGAAAGGTTTGAGACGTGATCTGCAGCATTATTTGTTTTTCCCTGTTGAAATCCAAAGAATTATTTCATAGTGTTAATAAAGAGGCTTTAAAAAAAAACTTCGGTAGTTTATTCAGTTGCATATATCTTAAATAATCTTTTTATTTTCATCATATAGCTAAGTTGCAATTATAAAAGTTTCATATGATTTTGGAACACACAACACTTTTAGCGTTTCACAGTTCTGCTCTCCTACCCTCAAATTAACTTCTCTATGGACTTCATACACACATACGTATGCACACCGTTCTTTATATGTCTTTGTTGTATCATGTTCCATATAACTTGTAGCCTGCCCTTTTCTTTTTCCTTTCACAATAGGCCTTAGCACTTGCTCTAAGCCATTGCTTATAATTCCCAGTGTGCTTTTTAATGGTTATAGTATTCTGCTATCAATGTATCAAATGTATCAAATTTGAGAGTGCATAATTAAGCTTTTCTCCAGCAGGATTTATGCCTGAAATAGTCCTGGGGGACTCTACGGAGAATGATAGACATTTGAGAAATTCTGCACTGGAGAACTGGTCTCAGAAGTGAGGAACGGAATGAGGAACGGAACTCTAAGTAACAATAAAGATCAGCAAAAAAATCTTGTAAAATTAATTCCAAATGCTGGTTGCTATAACGTTTTGGCCAAACGACTTAACTGTGCAGAACATATTCAAAAGCCAAATCAGACCTTGTAGGTAATGGCTGATTGATGTGTGGAGTCCTCACTTTTTAAAACAATATAGTTTCTTTTTTATTGTTGTTCCCTTTACCCTCTTCTATTTCATCCTTTGGAATGCTTATCGTGTCTTGGAAAATAATTCTGTAACAGAGAAGGCTGCTTGCCTCTTCGAAAAATGAAGCAAGAAAACCCACAATTTGTGGACATACTGGTCATGTAGTCTGACCGTGATTGTGAGCTTCTATCCAGCTGTAGGCCTCCGTTTATTAAAATGCAGGTTACAGCACTTAAGACTACAAATGAACCTTTTATGGGGTGACAAACTATACTTCTGTGCCCATGATTTTCTTCCCCCAGCAAAGAAGCAATGTTGTAATTTACTGGTGGACCCGTTTGGTGTTCTGGCTCTGTATTTGGTGGTATTCAGTTAGGTGTTCCATGGTGGTCACTCCATGCACAAAAGACCCTTGCAGAGTCAAAATGGAAAGGCAGGGACCTGCCATTTTTTTCTTATGGCCTAGAGATTAACATTATATAATGTATTTTAGATGACTTTTTTTTTGCCTTTTGCTAATTTCTGGAATCATTTTCTCAATGTTTAAACTTTTAAGCACAAAGGGTTTTTTTTTTAATTTCAGTTATATTTTCTATTCCAAATACATTTTAGTTTGTGGGAAATACATGACTTACGTCTCTCCAGAATCCTTATGACACTGAATCTAGTACTGGGAACTTGTGGAAGGATGGATGTGATGCTACTGGGTTTGCATATCACTCTCTGGGTACTGATGATCACCAACAGTTAGATCTGCTACGACTAACCATTAACTACAGCCTGTTGAAACCCTGGCCTTTCAGTGAACCAACCTGCCAGCTCCTTTGCTGTCCCCTCCAGGAAGCACACTCATTTCTGCCTGTGCCTGCCACTGATGTCTGGCCCAGATGTCACTGCCTTTTCCAGAGAAGCTGCTCTAGAATTCAAGCCTATTAATTGCTTTCTTTAAACTTCTGTTGGAACATTGTGTCTTTTGGTTGGAAAATGTTTCGGATTGTCCGTTGCTTCTATTTGCAGACCTCATGTGTCAGTAGATTTATGTACGTTATTGTACATCTTTATCATAATCTGTGTTTAAGAAGAAGCCCAGTCCGAACCAAAGCAGCCACTCCTCTCTGTATGACTTTCTGTCTCTTAGATCCCAGGGTCCTCATTTACAAATTAAGGGTTTCACCCAACTGGGAAGAGTAAATGGAAATGTATACAAAGGTCTTCCTGCCATGTTTCCACAAAGTGACCTAATCCTTCCTTTCCCCTACTCTTGTCTCTATAAAAAAAAGACCATGGGCATTGACCAGTGCTTTGGGTGATGCACCAGGCATTTAAAAATTCTTTGAAATTTGAATTCTTAAGTCACTGACTATCTGAAAACAGAAGATGCTGAGTAGAGTTCCCACCCTGTTTCCCGTTGTGGAACTTTGAAAGGCAGCACAGACTTCAGTCTTGGAGCGATGTAATTTGTAGTCAGAGGATATTCTTTACAATCATCTGCTTTAATCCCATTTGGACTTCCAAACATTTCTGGAGTCCCCCGCTGCCTCAGGGCCTTTGTTGGCATTCTTACTTATTAATGTGGCATGCTGTTGGAAGAATTAGGGAGTGAATTAGAATGCTCTAACATAAGAATATAAAAGCTTTGGACTTTTCTAACCATTATTGCTTTGACTAAGGTAACCAGTGAGTTTATATAATTTGTTTTGTAAAATGCACAACTTTAACTTTTTTTTCTCTTTAAAATTGTAGGATGCAGAATAGAAAACTGTGACTCTTGCTTTAGCAAAGACTTTTGTACCAAGTGCAAAGTAGGCTTTTATTTGCACAGAGGCCGCTGCTTTGATGAATGTCCAGATGGTTTTGCACCATTAGATGAGACCATGGAATGTGTAGGTGAGTAGGTCTTAATTCAACTCTCCAGTTGAAATTTTTTATGCCTGTTTGTGCACATATTCATGTTGGAGATAGTCAGCCTAAAAATAAATGAGTTTTATTGCTCATTAGAACCAAAAGGTTTTATTTTCTTTTGCTGATTCTAAAGAGTTTAGGCACTGTGATGATGATGGTATCTTTGTTCCAAAACTTGGTAGTTATGAATTTGCTGAGTTAGCCTTCTTAAGGAGTGATAAACTTTATCACTTTATCATAAATACACCCATTTATTATTATCATATTAAATTATTGGTATTTACCTTAGTTTGGGTTTCTATTGTTGTGAGGAGACCATGTCAACTCTTACAAAGGAAAACATTTAATTGTGGTGACTTCCAGTTTCATAGGTTTATTCTATTATCACTGTGGTGGGACACGGCAGTGTGCAGGCAGATATGGTGCTGGAAAAGGAGCTGAGAGTTCCACATTTTGATCCATAGGCAGCAGAAGGAAACTGTGTGCTGGGCATAGATTGAGCACATTGTATAGACCTCAAAGCCTGCCCTACAGTGAGGCACTTCTTCCAGCCAGGCCACACTTACTCAACCAGGCCACACCTCCTGTTATTGTGGATCCCTATGGTCCTAGCATTCAAACACCAAGTCTGTGTCTCTGGGGGCCATACCTATTCAAATATTTTATTTAGGAGAAAAACAAAACTTCCAAGCATTATTATGCCATCCATGCTATTGCCTTCGCCATACAAATAAACGAACTATGGAGATTCTAGCTTAGCCATCTGCATGAAAAGAGAAAAGTGAGAGAATGTTCTTCTGCCCAAATATATTTTCTTGATGATTGGCTGCAAATTACAAAGTTTATTAAAATTGCTTTGGTGTTAACTGAATTTTAGATCTGTAGAATACCTTAACATACATATTGTGAAAAAATAATCACCATTTTGGAAACTTCATGTGAGCTTTATACTGTGGTGTTTATAAAATACTGTGGGTTTTTTTTCCCCCATGGGTGTACTATTGATTAGCAGGTAAAGTGGCTACACTTACAAATCTATAGATTTGATCTTAGCTGTAATTTCATGCTCATCTCCCTCAAATTTTACTAGATGCATCTGATTTGCCATCCAGTGGAGCTAAGACTCATCAGTTATACTCCCCATTCCCTTAAATGGAGTGATTTCAAAATGGCACTTGACAATTACTTCTTTAGAAATATTGTTGAACCATTTTGAAGTTATATATATTTGAAAACTTAGACATAAGTTTTGGAAAGAAATGTGTTAATTTGCAATACTATTAATGTGTGAGTTAGTACATAAATTTATCACCCAATTGAAAAAATGAAAAAGCTGCTAAAAACATATGAATGCGGTTTTAGCTTTTGAAGCAAGAATCACACCTATTACAAATTGTAAATGGAAATTTACAGAATATTTCACGATAGAATCCTGTGCATATATAACCCTATCTAACAGTTTTAAATGGGGTTGAAAAGATCCTGGACTTGGCTCCGATGCCTACTGAGATTGAAAACACAGTGTGCCCTGTGTGGACTCCAGGCTGGGGTCCTCATGTATCATGTGAGAAGCTTTTCAGTATAAAGCTGATAGGAGGTTTAACTCCGCACAGTGGTACTGTCCTCTTCCTGCCTCCACCACTCCTCAGTCATCTTACAAAATGGGCATCAAAAGTTTTTCATGACTATAAAAAATAGATATCATTTTTTTGCTGCCGTTGTCTGTTAATTTTCAAGCGTATTATACGTCATGGATACAGAGGGTAAGTAATACAAGAGTAGATAGGATAGGCAGAATCAGAAAACACACACACACTCACACTTACACTCACATACTGAACTCCTTTCTGACCCCCAGTACTTGTGAAATAAAGCAAACACAGTTACAGATTTGGGTATGTGGTAGGGAATCTGAAATTGGCCTGGTAGATGGTGACTTCCACCGTGGCATCTTCTCTTTGGGTTTTGCCTGTTTCGAGACCATCTTTTAGAGATGACAGAGCTTTGCATTCCTGACTGGCCAGCAGTATCCCTTCAGAAACGTGACAGATGGAAAGCAATGGCTCCTTCATTCCTTATGTGGCATTTGTTTGCCTTAGCTGTCAGTACTCTCTGACTTAAGCAACTGTAGTTCTAGACAGATGAGTTCAGCTCCTCTAGGCTACATAAGCTGGTTTTTGAGACTTATGCTAGAGGTAATAGATAAACAAGTGTTGTATAAGTTTTATATCACATTTAACAGTGGATACCCAACTGCTGTCTATGTTTGTGTTTTTAAAATCTTCATCAGAAGGATGTGAAGTTGGTCATTGGAGTGAGTGGGGAACATGTAGCAGAAACAACCGCACGTGTGGATTTAAATGGGGTCTGGAAACCAGAACACGACAGATTGTTAAGAAGCCAGCAAAAGACACAATACCATGTCCAACCATTGCTGAATCCAGGCGATGCAAGATGGCCATGAGGCACTGTCCAGGAGGTGGGTCTAACTAAGCGCTCTCATGTGCTGTGTGCTTTCTCAAGTTTTCCCCTCCCTCTCCCCCTCCTTGCCATAAATGCTATTTATCTATCTGTGATGGAATCCTGATACCGACAATGGAGAGATAAGATTCTATTTCAGAAACAAATGCTTAAGCTGTGCTCTATGTAGAGTGGACATTTCATTTGCTTTCATAATATTCTTTAAAAAAAACTCGAAAGAATATGAACATGCTCTCTCAAATGAGACTTCTGAAAGTGTGAGGTTTTATCTGTGTGTGTGTGTGTCTTTTTTCAACTGTACCATAAAAGTGGGTCTTATGAAATCGGGTCTTTGCAGAAGGAAGGGGCCAGCTTTCATTGAGAAGCGTTTAGCGTAGAGAGGTCTATGGAATCTGTAAAATCATCTGCATCATTACTAGTTGCAGATGACAGCTTAAAATAAACTTACCCAAACACTGGGAGGAAAGAACCCTGTCTCACTGTTACCACAATCAGCCCCTTCTCTTTGTTTGGATACTAATTTGTAGAAAACAGCTACTAGTTTGTGTGTGTTTAACTCTTTGTAATAATTAATGCTGATTTGTAGTAATTATTCTATAATAGCCGGATTAGGCTCATTTAGAAATTAGGAGTCCTTAGCAAGGTGTTGGACAACACAGAATCAGGAGGTCAAAATGCAGTTCTTGTGTGTATGTGGGTGTTGTGTACATATGTGTTTATGTGCACATGTGTGTGTCTGTGTGTGCAGGCTAGACAGCAACATTTGCCATCTCCCTTTATTACTTCCAACCTTTTTAAGACATGGTCCCTTAATGACCTCAAACTCACACTTTTGGTTAGGCTGGCTGGCCAGCAAGGCCTTAAGGCCCTCTGTCTCTGTGCACCCTTTCCAGGGCTGGAGTATTGACCTATCTGACTGAGGATACTGGATGTATGAACTTAGGTCTACAGGCTGGGGTAGCAAGCATATAACTGACCGAATCATCTCACCAGCTTCTTGAGAGGGAATTTTCACAATGCTAGTGTGCTTCTTGAAGCAGTAATCACTTGTTGACATTTATTGTATCACTAGCCAAAGCCATGTTGCCACAGATGAAACTGAGAGATTTTTTTTTTCAAAAGTGTACAAATAGAAAACCAAAGCCGAAAGAAAGTTGTGTTTGGAAAAGTGCCTCCTAAAATAGCCCAAACCTCGTTTGGCCTCTTTCCCCTCACCCTCTGTTAGTGTGTAGCTTCTTGGCTTCTAATTCTAGCCCAGAAAGAGGACATGTAGCTGCTAAAATGGGTTTCTATCCACTCCGTGCTGCTGTGTAGAGAAGGTCTAAGATCCGTGGAGGCCGACGACACTCTGAAGTCTGCAAGACTCCAGCCAGCCTCTGAGGACGATTAGATCCAGATTCAGAAGCTCCCGCGGAGGAGGCAGCTTTTCCTCTTGAATTAGTCGTGCTTTTCCTTATTGGGCCTTTGAAACAAAGTTTTTTTTTGGGTTTGCTTTGCACTAACAAGGATGGTTTTGTTCAGTTAAAGTGGGTATTTTTCAGTCAAAATATAAGAAAATATTTTCTTACAAAACTAATAAGCCACTTCTTGGATAGCTGAGAGCATTTAACCTGCAACCTTTTGCCTAAAAGCAAACCCGATGTATTCAGGTATCGAAAAGAAAGACGTTCTTTGTTGTATATTGTTTATATAACTGGTCCATTCCTGCCCCCCCCCCCGTTCCCTTTTTAAGCATCATGGTCCTGCAATTGTGGCTTACATTAATAGCAAAAATTAGACTGAAAATATTCTTGTAACAAACATGCTTATGTGTTGGAAGAGCCCACACACTCTTCTAGCCCTTTCTAGCCTTTCATTTTGTCCTGACCTCAGTCCTGACTGAGAGTTTTCTAGAGAGTAGATAGGTTGTTAGTCATAATATTTATCGCATTTCTGTTCTTCGTGCTACTGACAGTTGCCACCGTCATGGAATATACCTGATTCTACTGATTATTTAAATCACACACCACACACACACACCACACCACATCAGCCTGAGATGCTAGTTTTCGTCTCCTAACAGATCAGATATAGATTCCAGTTTAAACTGTATTTAGGTTTTAACCATATTTTATCCATTAAGCATTGCTCTAATCCCTGTAGCTATTTCATTTTCAGTTTACTATTTTTTTTGTCTAAATATAGTGAAATAGTAAACACGCTTGGGTTTACATAAAACAGGGTTTCGAAGATATGCTGAAACTTGTTTTGTTTGATTTAAAGAAAATAAATTAGTAAACATTAATGGTTCTGTAATAAAATGACTTCTAGTTACAAATATAGGATATAAGAACTAAGAAACTAATTTTGGAATTTGGGCATTGGTTGTTAAAAATTGGCATAACCTCCAGTGGTGAGTCCCACCTTGCCTCAGGTGAGAGAAGGGAAAGTCCCCTTCTTCAGTGGGTCACGCTGATTACGGAAGAATGAAGAAGAAAACCACTTTATCCCCTTTTCCATCTTGATTTGATTTCAGTGATCTGCTTTGACAAACCATGCAAAAATGTAAGTCGTAATCAGGTTGGGAATACAGGCATTTTTTTTTTTTGCAGATCTTTTCAACATATGTATGGATTTTTTTCTCCCATTGGAGCCAATCTTAACCTGATTGCACTCAAATGCAGTCTTAGCCTCCTTCACACTGGAGCTCAGACGCATTAAAATCAGCTGCTTTTGATTAAGGAAAGGCCCGAGCTAGAGGTCAGCATCATGGAATGGCTAAGTGCATAAGATGTTACACTGAAAGCTATTAAGTAGGAGAAAATGAAAAACTATAAAAGTAAATGTAACAACCAAAGCATCGTGGTATAATGACCTCACCTATTTCTTTCTTTACCCATCACACGCAATTTGTTTTGTGAGGGGAAAAAATAAGGAAGTTCCATAGCAACTTCAGTAGATGTATTTGTACTAAAGTCCCCATTCTTCATTTCCAAACTTTTCGTTTTAGTCAGTTTTCTTTTCTTTCCTTGTTGATTAAACATGTAAGATTTCTTGGACTTTTGGATGTGCCCTAGGAGGTATGGTCTGTGATCTGGGTGTCTACATCCTGTCAACTCATAACTTTTGTGACCTCTGGCAAAGTTGCTTAACCCCTCTTGGCCTTTATTTCCTCATTTATAAACCGAAGGTACCAATGTTGGAAATTTCTAATGTTTACTTTTCTTCTAAACCCCAGTGACAGAAGGATTAATTGCTGAGAGGAACAGGTATGGTCTTGTGGTGAGAAGACAAGAAAAAGAGCTGGGGTCCAAGAGCACAGACTGACCATAGAGCTCTTCCCATTTTGGTGTAGCATGTGCTCAGTCTTCTCTTGATTTTTGCTCTTCTGCTTCAAAAATGGACTTTGTGTTGTCAACCTTCAAAGACTAAATAGGATTTGTTTTAAATGTAGGTGTTACCTGTGGCATAGCTACCAAAAAAGAAGGGTAAATGAGAAACAGAGGGAAAATGGGGGATCACAGGAAACCCCAGGAGGTACAATGACAAGACAGAGAGCTGACAGTGTGTTTGGAAGACACGTGGAAAGAACAGACCCCTAAAAAGTAAAAGCTGGTCATATTGCAGACACAACCACCCCTTCCCACCGCCTGAGTGGTAGATTTCATCCTGCTGGGAATAATTTAGTTTATTAATAGCCCAAAACTCTGAGTGGAAGAAATTTTGAGTCCAGTTTAAATTGTATACTAGGCAGTATTTTAAGAGAAAAAGATAAATGGGCTATTAAATATTTGAATGATCAGTGGGAAAACAACATCAAATTGTATGGTGCTGGAGGATACCCATGTACAGTGGGAAATATTGTTATCTGTAAGTTTGTATAATTTTCTCCTCTTATAAGATTAGCAAATGTTCTTTAATATGTTTTTCATATTATTTTTTCAAGTTTTAAAATTATTATTATTATTATTGTTAGTAGTAGTAGGTGTGTGAGGGGGAACTTTGTGGACTTAAATTTCTCCTACCTTTATGCAAACAACTTCAATGTCTTAGGCTTGTATAGCAAGTGTGTTTACTTGTTTAAGTCTCTCTCTAGCTCTTACTGCAAGTTTTGCTGGATGTTTGTTGACTAGTGTTCCGTACTGTTTATTGTTCTGTTGCTTAAAGAATTGGAAAGCTTTTCTTAGAAAGAATAGCTGTAGTGAAGAAGTGAATGGCTGAGCATCTATCATTTGATGCACAGACATGAGCTGGACAGAAAAGTAAAGTGTGCTAGTGAAGGAGAGCTTCGGCTGAGATGTGCTAACTTATATTTGATATTCAGAAAACTGTGAAAGTGGTGTTTGGTCAGAAATCTACATAGTTGAAATTTTCTTTGTACTGCCAAACATTTCCCAAATAAAGACATGGAGACTTATTATTAATTATAAATGCTCAGCCTTAGCTTAGCCTTGTCCCACCAGCTCTTTTAACTTAATTTAACATGTTTCTTTTTATCTCTATTTTGCCCTGGGGCTTTACACCTTTCTTTCACTCTGTATGTCCTACTTTCCCACTTCCTCCATGCCTGGCTGGGTCCTGGAATCTAATTTTTTTTTCTTCCCTGGAGTCTACATTCTTCCTTCTACTTATTCTCCCTGCCTGGAAGTCCTGCCTATACTTTCTCCCTTACTATTGTCCATACAGGTTTTGATTAGAATGGTCAGGTACGTTAGGCAGGCAAGATAAAGCAGCAACACATCTTTACATAGTTAAACAAATATTCTACAACCAATCTGAGTAATGGTGCACATGTGAATATCAAAGACACATTTGTTGTAGTAGTTGACTCAATGACTATTTTAATATTCTTGATTCTCCCACAAAATTTGGGGGAAGTAGGAAGTCCCAGTGAGTGACAGCGAGGCTCTGATTAGTCCTTAGAATGTTACTAGTGGTAGAGTGAAGAGCAGACCAAGATCTTGATTCCTGGGAAACCTGAGTTTCTTGTGTCTTCTTCTAGTTCCTGTAGTGAAGATT